AGGGGGAACATTCCCTCCTTAACTTAAGTATAGGGAGGAAATGCAGAATTGCGGCACAAATCTAAACGGCTCGACCTAGGCTCGTGATAGTCGGTGTATAGCATCATGGTAGGAAAAGCCATCACTGGTGCCGAAATTGGGGTCACAGGTCAAAGGTCAATGGGCCACAGGGCAGATTTAGACATTTTCTGAGGACATGGTCTGACGGAGCGATCGAAAACTTTTTGTTTTTCAGCGGTGACCTAGCATTTTTATGGCTTTATTGAAAGGACCATGAAATGTAGCTTCCTGCTGACATGCGAAGAGTAAAGTGTCTGATAACCTTTTGACCCTCAAGAGGAGGTTAAACATGGATTTGTTTACTGTCTGTTAGAAAAATTTGACTGCCGGGTTTGCTAGTAGAATCTATACATGCCTGGATGTATGAGGCTACAATGTCACAGTGAAATTTCAAAGGATAATTTGGTTGAAGAAGGTTTATGCTCCTTAAATCGTATAATTTCTATGGCATTCTGTACTGTCAGTATGTTACATGTAACGTATGCCACTGCAGTGCCACTGCCAGTGCATGTGTGGTGGTACTGTGTAGTTTTTGCCTGCGTTAATTGGTTACAGTGGCAGCTCTCTATTGCAGCCTGTAGGCTTGCGTAGGTAAATGGATGAGTGCTTACCTATTCTGTCTTGCAAATAGTTGTTGCTACTACGTACGATGGGAGCTTCCATCTTTAATCTGAAGACACTTAAACGTACGCGCCATCTCGTGGCAACTTTCGTAACGATCCCAACGAAACATTCCTTTGAGAAAGGTTCCTGATACCATCCCTGTGGCATTCCACTTTCGGCGTATATGTGAACACATTTTGACTAACAGGGTTTACTAGAATCCCACCACTCCACCACAGAGTCACCGGCAGTAGACGTTAGAATGAGCGCTGTCGCTTCCGCGCACTTGTTGGCTGCTGTTTGATAGTTGTTGTACTACAGACGCGTATATGATACACGCACACACAGCGCGCAATGCATACAGAGAAACATAGAGAGAGATACACACACAGATATATATATATATATATAATATATATATATTATAATATATATATATATATATATAATATATATATATATATATATATAAGAGAGATGAGAGAGAGAGAGAGAGATAGAGAGAGAGAAGAGAGAGAGAGAGAGAGAGAGAAGAGAGAGAGAGAGAGAGAGAGAGAGGATAGATAGATAGATAGATAGAAGGGATGGATGGATGGTGGATGGATGGAGTCGTCTCA